CTCACCCATAGAGAGATAGCTGGCCAGCACCTCTTCTACAGGGGGCATCTTCTCATAGCCGTTTTTGCGCATCGCCTCGATGTTGGCATAACTCGAATGCTGGAATCGATGGATGCGTGAGAAAAACGGCCTCTTCCATTCCTTCTCGATCTCTGTATGGAGATCAGGAAGAAAAGGAAGGCTCACCTGACCTGGAGGGTTATGGCCAGAAAGATAACGCTCATCGAGATGACCTCGCGACGTCACTTTCTTTTCCCGCTTTCGTGCCTTGCCGTGGCACGATCCATAACTTCCAAAAGCTCATCATACGCAGGGCAGGAGGATTGGGAAGGCACAGCCTCAGCTTCTTCGCCCTCCTCAGACATTTCCTGCTCTTCCTGGGCTGAACCCAGCAGAGCACTGGCCCCTGGATCAGACGATGTTAATGAAATAACATCATCCTCCAGCGGCTCACTCTCGTCCACAGCCGACGAGGGCGAGAGGGAAAGCCCCACTTTAAACTCATCCGCCAGATCCACCTGCGATCCCCACGAGCTCATTCTCCTCCGTGCCTCAGCAGCGGCGGGTCCTGAACTGTGGGGAGCCGATGGCTGCCCCTCTTTCCTCGAAAAGAGAGACAAACAAGAGGAAAAAGCTTGCAGTGCACGCAGATTGCCCCCTCAAGGACATCGCGTGCATGCTCTTCGCCCAAACAAACAACGCATAGATCGTGTGTGTCATCGGGTGTCAAATAATGACGACACGGATGCACACATCCTCTAAACGCTTAGTAAATTAAATGATTCATTTAAATACTCCCCTACCATAAATTTTGCATCCTACTCCAACAAATATGTACGGAATAAGGTAAGCCACAAAAATAACTGTCCACACCATTTCATCGCTAATTTTTAACTGCATGTCTTTAGTGAATCCTGACAGTAGAGAGTTTGCACTGGCACAAGCTGTTAGTAAATCTGGCCCTCACCCTTATGAGGGGCATGTTGGAAACTCAGGGGCTGTTTACATGTCACCGTTTTCAACTAAAATCTTGTTTTGGTCATTAATTTACACAATGCCATTTTAGAGGCCTGAAAATGCACAAGTCCATTATCATCTCCGCGTAAACAAATTTGTTAAAGTGGTAGCATCTAGGGTTGGGTATCGAAAACCGGTTCCAAATTTCCAAGAACCGGGTATTCAATATGAAAAGTTTCGGCCCGGAACAACCTTTTCTACAGTGGAAATACACGGAACGGTTCAGGAACGGACACAAACCGGGAACCCGTACCGCAACCTCTGTTCTCTGTGCTCGTGCTTGCACGTCATGTGGGCTGCACGCAAACAGGGCGCAAGTTCTTTCCGTTCCTGCACTTAAATCGTTTTTAATCACATTCAAATGTGAACACAGGAATCGTTAAGCAGAATCGAAATGCACGCGTGTATATCATCAGAAACACAGCCGTTTTTGTCTTACTTGAATGTTAGCAGATGAGAAAGAAAACACACGTACAGTATTTTTAGATCTGCATGCGTTCGGTGTTAAAGAGACAGCAGCCTAATAAACGCGCTGCCTGTCATTAATGTTAATCAAAGAACAAAAGAAAATAATTCACTGATCTTGACTGAATATATTTAATACATTTAATTGATTAATCTATATTTTATGAAAAGAAAGCTATGCAGTGTTTTTAAACTTTTAATTACAGTTTCTGTACCTGAAATTTTGTTCAGTTGTATTCATTTATGATATTGCTAATTGATTTGTTCCCATCTTATTACTGACTGTTTACTTGTCTTTAACACTTTAATATTTTAAATTTATATTAATCTAGTTGTTTTTGCTGTGGTATTTTTTTT